TCTCCGAGCTGAGGATGTTAGACGACTCTCTGTGTTCGATCATCGCTGCCTCCGAAGGATTGCTGGCATCCAGTGGCAACACCATGTCAGTAATGCAGAGGTTCGGCATCGTGTGTTCGGGCACAGAGACGACAATCCAATTGGTGTCACCATCTTGAAACACCGACTTCGGTGGCTTGGACACGTTCTACGAATGTCGTCCCAGAGAATTCCTCGTCGTGCATTATTTCCCGACTCTGGGACTTGTTGGAAAAAGCGGAGAAGTGGTCAGTATATGACATGGTGTCGTGGTATGAAAGAAAACTGCGAAGGGCTGGCTTCTGTTGGTCCTTCACGACTCCCTGGTTGGGGTCCGAGAGACGGTGTAACGCAGTGGCTAGAGACGTTATCAGATATGGCTCAGAATAGAAGCCAATGGCGATCCTGCTGTAACCTTCTTTTACTTTCTTCATAAAAAGTGGTTGTATCTTCCTTAACTGAAAGATTTCTTATGATTGTACCTTTCCGTTTTCCCCATCATTGTTCTCTCTCTCTTTTTTTATATTTATAATTCCCCATGTTCATTTTTTTTTCTCCTTCTCTTCAAATTATCATTGTTTTGTGTGGCGCATATATATTTGGTGCCCCCCTGTACCAATATTTATGTGTTCAAATAAATAAATAAAAATAAATAACTGTCATCGTAATTGATAATTTCAAATGGTGTTTCCCAAGGTTGTCCATTTTTCTTATCTAAATAAAACTTTGTCATATGCATCCTTTTGGATATAACACTTTCATTGTCAGACTTATCAGGAATCGATCTACCAGATTCCTTCGCTGTCTTAGAATATGCAGATGGCATAGACCCGTTTAGTGAAGACTCAGAAAAAATTTACCTTCTGACATTATAGAGCATGAATGATAATATGTTTGGGACGAGTTCCACCCTCTAAAAAGGCAAAATGTCACTTTAGGACAGGTCTAAATCGACCACTTTGCTTATCTTGGAAGTCTCATCAGTTGCGGTTGATTGGTGTCTGACGAAGTCTCGACACGAAGTTCGGATGGCTTTCGGGAACTTGTGGAGTAGGCAAACTTTCTGTCTGCCAACTAAAGGGAGAGTATACTATGCAGCAGTTCACTTCGTCCTTCATTAAGGATATGAATCATGATAATTAGGAATAAACGATAGTAGATTACTAGTATTTGATTACAGGTTTCTTCGAACCATTGATTCCGTACATTGAGATCGTCAAGTTAGCGATTCTGAATTTAGACTTTGGATACAAAGCACGTATGGCAAATCTATTGATGTTGTAGTGAATCCTTGTCAACTGAGATTTTTGGGACATATATTACATATGCCTACCAACCGACCACCTTTACGCCTGATGATGGCTGGTGTAGGAGGGGTGGGTAGGAAGTTAAGTGTAGCTAAACATGGCGCAAGTCCACAAAGACACTGACTGTTAGAATGAGCAGTGTGGATAGGTCCAGACTATCTGGTACGGGTGTGTATTTTATGTCGTAATCAATGGTCATAGACATGGTTTACAACCGATCGCAAACGCACAGGACTATCCGATTTTTGTCTTTCTTTAAATCCTAAGTTTCTAAATTACCCTAAAAATTTATTTTTCATTTGACCAATTTAAACTTCTTCTTGAAATCTGTGTTTCCAGATCTTTTCTGTTTCCACTAATACTGTTACTACCTCTGCTACCCTGGAATTGGCCCTGACGATTTCATTTGTGTTAATGAGATATGGAAAATTGAGCCGATGTACTAGTGCCAGGTTCTAAATTACGTTGATTAGACTGATTTACTCTCTTATTCCAGTCTACTTACTCTGATACGAATATGTTTGTTAGTGGATATTTTTTAAATGACTGGAATATCATTTGAGTGATTTTTCCATCTTTATGTTCTTGCTAGTTCACATTCACTTACAATTTGAATGTCAGTCAGTTGTATATAATGACAGTACAGGAAGAAAGAATTAGTTCGTAGAAATGAAGCGATTCTAATCTCATAGTTTAAAGGGAGACAGAGTGTATACACTTATGCCATTGTGGTCGATTCTGAGTCATGTCATTCAGAATCTCCAACTATTGGTTACAATAGTCACGAAGACCCCAATCAAGTATTCTGCATCTACCAACATGGCACAGACTAGAAGTTAGTGACTTTAAGCACTGATGCAACGTTTTGGTTTGGCCGAAACGTGGCTTTGGATGGATCGCTCACGTGTCTAGGAACTCAAGAAGTGTCATCCTAAATAATGAATCTCTAAAGACAACATGGGCAAGGGTCAAGAAAGGAAAGACAGAAGTCAACAACAACCGAACAAAAGCAGAGAAGTTTAAGGCACAGATTGAATATAAAGTAACACACTGGGTCAGAAAGAGCATTATAGCTGACAAGCCGAAATATGTGGAACACCTTGCAACTACACCAGGACAGAATACAAGAGAAGGAAACATGAAAGAACTATATGATACAATCAAGAGGCTAGCAAAGACACAGGAAACCAGAGCGAACAGTCAGGAACGAACAAGGAAAGTCAATCATTGAATATGAAGAGTAGAGAAACAGATGGAAAGCTCTTGAATAGACCAGGCACAATGAACCCACTAAACGTCCGAGCAGCACCCACAGAAATCTCGGTCGATAACACCCTATTGATCATAATAGAGATCTGCAAGCGCATCAGACAAATCGGGAATGGCGAAGCGCCAGAACCAAAAAGAATACCAGATAAAACGTTCAAGTCATGTATGGAGGCAACGTCATAGATATCCCATGTTCTATTCGGAAAAGTTGGGAGGAAGAAAAAGATGCAAGGGATTAGAAGGAAGGATATCTCATCAAGATATCGAAGCAGATCTTAATAAGTATGAGAACTACAAGGGAACATTCCACTGTCGGAAGCAGGTAAAGCCTTTAACAATGTTGCTGAGCCGAATAAAAGATTCGGTAGACCACCAACTAAGAGATCTAGCTGGATTCCTTAGGGGTCAATCATATACCGACAAAATTGCGAGACTGCTAATGACTTTTGAAAAATCAGTTGGATGAAGCTCATTTTTATCTGTCAACTTTCTGGATCGTGAAGAAGCATTCGACAGTGGATAAAAACATGGTGAAATCTCCTTCGAGTACCTGAAAGATACCCCAAATGTTTTGGTCAGAAACCAGCAGCAATAAGCTACTCCAACAAACAGAAACCTAGCTGAGGAAGAAATTAAGAAAAAAAGGTGGGAGTATGTAGGGCATATATCGTGGAAATCACAAAACTGAATCCCTAGCCCCAAAACTCAAGGCGAAAAGAAAAGATGCACACCAAAGAACACATATCCCCGGGAACAGGAAGCCGAAATTAAGACCATAAATACCACTTAACAACAACTGGGTAGGTCTCAGAACAGAGTTGGTTGGATACCCCCGGTCGGCGGCTCATTCTGTAAGAAGAGTACCAGATTATAGTAACAGCAGTGGTATAGTGATCTAGCAAAAAGCACTGACTACACACATTAGTCTGTACTTTTTGATAAGGATTTAATTTATCAAATTTTTATCTTGTTAAATCGTCTTCTGAAATAACTCATACATTTTATGGAGGACCGATTCACTTTCTCATAGTTTTAACCATGCATCAATAACTAAGACTCATAAAAATAAAGACGTACTGAATGGATGATATTGCTTTCGTCTCATTCATAAATGAACTCATAGTCCCCGGACGTTGTGATAAAGTGACTATGAATTATTAGAGGGAACTTTAACGATAAAAGTCGACCAATTCTGAGATTTAGTTCTATAGCTATCCAATGTTATTGATAGATTTTTTTTCACCTCCAATTTACATGACTGTTGAATGACGACTTCCTGATATAAAATTAAGAATATGCTAAACAGAATTCATATTTAAAGGGAATGGTCTGTACGATATACTGCAGTCCTCAATGATTCCCAAGCTGATGTTATTGCAAAAAAAGCACCATCTAACTTGAACCTTAGAGGTTTATAAGTTTTTAAAGATTTATATCGGTGGTGAGAAAGGACGACATAGTATTCTCAAGACGCTCCGATTCGGTCGCAGTGCTGTGACTCTAAAGAGTATCACCAATTCGTTGAAAACTAACGACATTTTGTCTCCACTTGAATTTTGTGACGGTATTGTCTAAAAAGATAGCGAAGGCAGTAAGGATAAGTTGTTGAGCCTTGAGAACGTAATACCAGAAAGTACTACTTGCACCTCCATATGTACTAAATTCAGAATAGCTGCCCCAATAAATAGGACAAGAAAGTACTGTTGTTGAGAAATATTCTTTTCTAGAGTTTTAGTCCCAATAATGAACAACTACTTTATTTAACTGTACATATCAAGCAAGAACAAAACGGTTAACTAATAAAAGCCGACGAATTAACTGGTTGCCATCATTGTGTATTCATATATTAATTGTCCGGATTTAAATATTTCATTTCTGATCATGCTTTGGTGAAATTACCGTCATGGGTGTCGGTGTCTGACGTAGAGCTGAATTTGTGTGCATACATCAACTAAGACTGAGTAAAACTGTTACTTTAATGAAATAATGATAGAATAAAGTGAACTTCAAAAGTGTCGGATATTATATTGATTTGGCCAGTGATTTCGCTATATATTATCAAAAGTACGAAATTAGCTTTCAATAGAAATTGACTGAAATATTACCTTCCCAATCGTACATACAGTAGAATGCGAGATTTAAAAACAATAAAAATTATGTGATAACAAGCTTTGCAATTAGGGTTAGATAAAACAACGCATTACTGTGTCAAAATATCTTGCCTGATTGACTACAGTTTATATGTAAATGTTAATCGCTTTCAAAATTCTTTATTTTCCAAAGACCAACTCGTTTCTACCTTTGATAGTCAGATCCTTGAAAGTAGAATTATTTAGCACCAGTTAATCGTTTTTATCAACAAAGCCTTTTGAATATGTCATCGATGTTAGAAAAAAGAACACAATATTTTACACTATATATTATAGAGGTAACGGGAAACATCAGAAACACTGTTATTGTTATGCAACTTGTGCAGGTCCAGGAGCTGTAGATCCTGTCGTTTGCCACTGCTGGTCTGGGGCTTGGAGTGGAAATCCTTGAAACGGTGGTGGTGGAGGGGCAGAAAAGTTAGCCGAAGGAGGCGGTGGTGGTGGAGGTGGGAAGGACGTCGGAGCGGCGGAAGCAACAGGGATCGGCAAAACAGGTGGTGGAGGAGGCGGGGGAGGAGGTGGCATGGCACCATGAACCATAGACTGCCCGAATCCCACCAAGGCAGTTTGAATTGGCGGAGGTGGAGGCGGCGGCATGACTAGAGATCCAGCAGGTATGGTGATAGATGTCATGGTTGGAACTGAATGGGCCATAGTACCTGCAAGCAGAGCGGGTGGAGGCGGAGGGGGAGGAGGAGGTGGAGCATCTGCAAACAGCTGATGAGGGCGCTCGGCCTAGGAGAAAAAAATTTAAATATGAGTTAACTTGAAATTTTCTTTAACTCATAAGCAGAAGAATTGACTTAGTGTTTACGGCACTCGGCTTTTAACCGGAAAGTTACAATCTAGAATCCTTTAGTTATTTTGCTTTGGATAGCTGGATAGTACCGCTAGCTCTCACACAAGCACGTGGGATCAAAACCTATACTCGGTGACTGAGTTACATTATTTTATTAAATACATAAGTGTATAGAAAAAGGTTGTAGGAAACCGTCAATTAGAAGATTCTATTTTACGCTGATTATGTGTAACAATAAGTTACTAATTTTAATCACACTGTTAGTGGCAAATTAATCAGCTTTTAACTACAAGAAGTACTGATCAATTATTTTCCGAAGCGTAAAATAGTAATATAGCGACATCATATACGCAATGTCATTATATTTTTGGTTTGCACTTGTAAATTACCCACAAAATATTAAGGGGTATTTAGTGTATTTCATCCATATTTTGATTATTTACATAACACTCATGTTACGCTGTCGGTTAATACAAACGTGGTTGTTACCATCACTCAAAAGGGAAGTACTGGTCATGAATAATTGAAAATGTCAGGTACGAAATTAAAAAAAAAAGAAAACAAATGAATTAATGAGAATGTAAAAGTTAAAGTTGATGACGCAGATTCTACAAAATATTTCAGTTAAAATACTACTAAATTAACAGCTTAATCTACTGGATTTTCTTTATCTCGAATTTAAACACGAATTAACAGAAGATACGAAACTGTCCAGTTACATCAAATGAAGTAAATAAGCAACGAACGAACGTTGTGTTGAAATATAAACGACAAATTTACATTCCCTAGAAAAGTGATTGGTCAGTCAATCAGACGTAACTCAGAACTTTGAAAAGTAATACTTCTGCTCTTGTAAATTAGTAAGCGTTAAAACCTAATAAGTGCGTTTGACTGCAACAGTTACTTATATAATCAGATAACTTTCAGTCAGCACGTGTCACTAACAACTGCCACCTTCAAATGAAGAATCATTCAGTGTTAATTAAAAGCTAGTAATAGGTTAAACAACCATTTTAGCTCATATTGTATTGTAGGTCTAATAATGTACATATTGTAAAAATAATACAAACAACCACGTCAATTTAGTCTGATCAATTTCACTTACTTGAGAAAGAGGACTTTGGGCAGCTAACAAACGTTCAGCAGCTGAGCCATGTCGTTCACCTTTACTGTCTTTTTTGAATGCATATGAGATAGTGATGGCTCGATTACAAAGATACTGTCCATTCATCGCTTCAATTGCTGCATCGCTAGCTTCAAAACTTGCAAAATTGATAAATGCGTACCCTTTAGAATTCCCTGTTTCAGGGTCACGCATAATTTTCGGAGTTTGCAGTATAACACCAAATGCACTGAAAGTATCGTACAGTAGCTTTTCATCTACCTCAGGATCTAAGTTGCCAATGAAAATATTAGCACCTATATCAAGATTTTTCTGATTCGCTGATGCTTTATTTACGCGGATAGGCTTTCCATACAATTTAATCATATTCATAATACGCATAGCATAGTCGGCATCTTCTTCCGTCATAAACTCTACAAATCCGTAACTAAAATGGATAACAAGATATGAAGGAGGTAAACAAAGTAAACTGTACGAACCAATGAAAATATCTGACAGGAACCTTTCGCTACCAGGGGTCAGTCGATGGTAAATATCAAAAATAAATAAGTCACACCACCTGAGATATGTACCACTAATGTATTATGAAAAACAGCTGGTCCAAAATAAATATTGAAGAGCAGTGTTGCTTGTCTATATGCTTGTTCGTTATTTCTACACTACTGATAACCTAAAAATAAGTCAATAAGTAGCCGAGAGCGCTATTTTTACAGACGATCAGTATCCTTATACAACTGGATACAAGCCCATTAGGGAGTAGCAGATGAACTTGGATAGTGGCTACTTTATGTGCCTCAAATGATATAAATCCTAGAACAATGCGAGATTGTTTTGGTGAGAATTAAAGCGAGGCTTGAAGCGAATTTTCTAGTAAAGTGGACCTACGGGATATTCAACAGAAGTGTCCTAATATTGCCCCCGAATGCCCTGGTATGGCCGAGAGTGGGGTGGGTTCGCCCTCCTCGAAATACTCTCACACAGCCAGGCGTAAACAACCTCTGCCAGGGAAGTCCTACTCACTGCCTGGGATGTTGTTTACGAAAATGAGAGGACGAAAAGCGAATGTCCGGCGCTATAACCGGATCCCAAACCAATGGTGCACATGGGCTCCAGTATCCTGAAGGAACAAATGGCGAATGAACCAATAGTTGGTCACCGGCTACCATGGGACTATATCTCCTCACGATGCTCCACTGCCTTGTGGGTCAGATGTTCAGGTCAAAGGCTCGGGGTGTGGCCTCCTTAGAAAACCACCTGCTTCGGTTTGGGCACCCGAGCAGTATCACAGCCCACACACAAATATTACGGAAATGATGATATTCTCTGAAAACTCTATTCACGAAGCGATTAACCGTCAAACAATTCACATGATTATTATTATTATTATTATTATTTACCACGTCATTTATTCACTCTTTTATTTGCACTCTGTCTATCCTTATTTTTCGATTTATACAGCAGCTCGCCTATGGTGGACATTCGGCTCTATTTAAACGTTCTCGTGTCACTGTCTGGTTGAAAATTGTATGTTACCATCGAATAAGAGTACTGAAGCAGTTTTTCTGAAACCACGCGCACCATTCAAACTGGCTGCCTTTAACGTTCGCACACTTATGCAGGTCGGCCAACAGATAGGGCTGGCTATGTCTTTGGAAAGTCTTAATATTGACGTTTGTTCTCTATCCGAAACCCGTATTCAAGACTGGTGAAGTACTACAAGTTCGCTCTCCATCTGTCACTTCAAAAAGCTTGTTTTACGTGCGTTTATCCGGGGACCCTGTGGCATCTTCGTCTGGTCTTGCTGGCGTTGGTGTCGCACTAAGCGCTAGAGCTGAGGCAGCACTAATCGATTGGATCCCCATTAACAATCGGTTATGTGCTGTTAGATTAGAAAGTACCATCAAAGTGAGAAACGTCTCCGCCTATGCCCCGACAGATTGCAGCCCGGATGCAATCAAGGATGAATTCTACCACCAGTTAACTGTTCTCCAGGAAGTGCGTTCGACAGATATTGTAGTACTAGCCGGAGACTTGAATGCTCAGGTCGGGCGTCTAGGCACAGAAGAGAGTCGTTTAGGTGGCCGATGGGGACTTGTTGGTCATAGGACAGATAACGGGGAACGTCTACTGCAACTATGCACAGACCACAACCTGTTTCTGGTTAGCACTAACTTTCGGCACAGTCATCGCCGATGTGCTACCTGGCATCCTTCCTCTGCATTTCAAGCCTGGACTCAGATTGATCACATCGCGATCAGCTACCGCTGGCGTGGTTGTGTACAAGACTGCCGTACCTTTTGGAGAACCTATCTGGAATCTGACCATGCCCTGGTCTACGCCAATCTTACCTTACTTTTCAGTGAACAACGGAGTGACCGCCACCAAAGGATTGACGTTAGCAAGCTGGTTGCAACTTCTGTTGCTAGTAAGCACAGAACCGAGCTAGCTTCTAGGCTAGCTACCATTCCACCGAAAAGTATAGATGAGCATTGGTTGCAATTGCATGACGCCATGAAAATGGCGGGTACCGTCTGTTGTGGGTTCGCGAAACGTCCCGCTTACAAGCACTGGGTTTCTTCTGGTTCCTTACAACTGATTGAAGCCCATCGGTCTACTCCGGGTGACCGTGAGTTTAACCACAGACAAAGGATGTTAAGTAATGAAATCGGGCAAAGCTTGCGTAAGGACCGAGAAGCCTGGTGGTCGGAGCGTGCTAATGAGCTGGAAGCAGCAGCTGCATCTGGTAATTACCGGAAGCTCTTCCAACTCATCCGAGCCACTGGCAGCAAGAAGTCTGGTGTGAGCGAAACAATCTGCGAGGATGACGGAACGTCAATCACTAACATCCATCGACGTCTTGGACGATGGGCAGAATTCTTCGAAGGGCAGTTCAACTGGCCTGCTGCTCCTGCAACGTCGGTCAGACTGTCCTTCCCTCTATAGCCGGTGACGACTGATCCACCAAATGAGGCGGAAGTCCGCAAGGAACTCCAACTCTTGAAACGTTACAAATCACAGGGCCCAGACGACTTACCTCCGGCTCTTTTTAAAGATGGTGGTGACTTTCTGACTAAGGGAATGACGACGTTGTTTACAAAGGTCTGGGAACTAGAGAGTGTACCAACGTCATGGAATGAGTCGATAGTTGTCCCTATCTTTAAAAAGGGTTCACGTCGTTCCTGTAACAACTATCGGGAAATAAGTCTACTTTCGATTGCGTTCAAGCCCCCAAATGCCCTGGTATGGCCGAGAGTGTGGGGAGTCCGCTCCTCCTCTCGAAATGCTCTCAAATGGCCACGCGTATATAGCCCCTGCCAGGGAAGTCCTACTCACTGCCTTCTCGTGGCGGGGATGTTGTTTACGAAAATGAGAGGACGAAAAGCGAATGTCCGGCGCTATAACCGGATCCCAAATCAATGGTGCACACGGGCTGTCTCCAGTATCCTGAAGGAACAAATGGCGTATGAACCAGTAGTTGGTCACCGGCTACCATGGGACTGCATCTCCTCACGATGCTCCACTGCCTTGTGGATCAGATCTTCAGGTCAAAGGCTCGGGGTGTGGCCCCCTAAGAAAACCACCTGCTTCGGTTTGGGCACCCGGGCAGTATCACAGCCCTCACACAAATCAATTGAGATCTGTGTGGCGCATATGTATTTGGTGCCTTCTTGTACCGATATCTATGTGTTAAAATAAAATCAAAATGAGATCGCGTTCAAGCTATTGGCTTTCGTCATACTTCGTAGTTTGTTCAAAACCCGAGAAGGATTGACTCGCGAGGAGCAGGCTGGGTTTCGTTCCGGTCGAGGATGTATTGATCACATTTTCACCCTCCGCCAAATGTTACAACACCGCCATACTTATCAAAGGCCAACAATCGTAGTGTTTCTTGACATCAGGGATGCCTTCGATTCGTTGGACAAGATTGTTCTTTGGGATTGTCTATTGAAGAAGGGTGTGCCTGAGAAGTTTATTAACATCCTAAAAGCCCTATATACAAACACCTCAGGCAGAGTGAGGGCATACAACGACCTTTCTCCACTGTTCCATTCAAGCAGTGAGGTTAGACAGGGTTGCCCAATCTCACCATTCCTCTTCAACTTTGCCATCGATGACATCCTGGAAACAGCTCTGATGGATGTAAGTAATGGTGGAGTGGATCTGTTACCTGGAGAAAGACTTCTCGACCTTGAGCATGCGGATGATATTGTCTTACTGTGCGAGAATGCTCAAGCTATGCAATCCGCACTTCATCAGTTGGCAATCAATGTCCGTAGGTATGGTATGTGCTTTGCACCTTCGAAGTGCAAAGTACTTCTACAAGACTGGCAGGATTCTAATCCTGTACTCACTTTGGATGGTGAGAAGATAGAAGTGGTCGAGAAGTTCGTGTACCTAGGTAGCTGCATAAGTGCTGGTGGTGGTGTGAGTGATGAGATCAATGTACGTATAGTGAAAGCCAGAGCGGTTTATGCCAATCTGGGCCATCTTTGGAGCCTTCGTGATGTTAGTCTGGCTGTAAAAGGTCGGATCTACAACGCGACGGTGAGAGCAGTTTTGCTCTATGCTTGTGAAACCTGGCCTCTCCGAGTTGAGGATGTTAGACGTCTCTTTGTGTTCGATCATCGCTGCCTCCGAAGGATTGCTGGCATCCAGTGGCAACACCATGTCAGTAATGCAGAGGTTCGGCATCGTGTGTTCGGGCACAGAGACGACAATCCAATTGGTGTCACCATCTTGAAACACCGACTTCGGTGGCTTGGACATGTTCTACGAATGTCGTCCCAGAGAATTCCACGTCGTGCACTATTTGCCGACCTTGGGACTGGTTGGAAAAAGCGGAGAGGTGGTCAGTGTATAACATGGACTCGTGGTATGAAAGCTGCAAAGGGCTGGCTTCTGTTGGTCCTTCACGACTCCCTGGTTGGGGTCCGAGAGATGATGTAACACAGTGGCTGGAGACGTTATCAGATATGGCTCAGAATAGAAGTCAGTGGCGATCCTGTTGTAACCTTCTTTTACTTTCTTCGTAAAAAGCGGTTGCTTCTTCCTTAACTGTAAGATTTCTTCTGAGTGTACCTTTTCGTCTCCCCCATTATTGTTCTCTTTTTTTTATAATTCCCTAAGTTCCTTACCCTTTTTTCCCCTTAAATTCTCATTGTTTTGTGTGGCGCATATATATTTGGCGCTCTCTTGTGCCAATATTTATGTGTTCAAATAAAATAATAAATAAGTGTTTCTAGTTTAGATGCACAAGTGATAGTAGGGTTAAAGGTCCCAATTTGGGTATAGCATTAAATTTGAAAGCTCCATAAGGATGACGAAAGTGATGTCATTAGTAAAAAGTTAGTAGCAATATGTAGAATAAATTAACCTATTCACCAAGTACTTGGGTATGAACCAAACTTCAAGCAACGGCTAATGATACTATCTGGTTGCTCCAACCAAAGTAGGTACAGCGGGTTTAGACCGAAGACTTGGTGGTTAAAAGTTGAACTTCTCAGCTACTGCTCTACAACAATGTATACACTGATGTTTATTTAGGATGGTCTGAAGCCACTACCCAGATTCAAGGTAGTTGAAAGTTGACAAACTAAACCACTAGGTTGCGATGCGAATAAAGAGATGAAAGTTATTATTAACTAGTAGGATAAGTTGTGCTGATAATTGTTAGAAAGAAAAAATGACGTGAAATTGCTTTTGCTGTTAAGAATAAAGACGAACTAATCTTACTGATTGAAAATCAGCCAGTCTGATTACCATAAGAAATCTGTTACGATTAACATGGTGGATAGATAATCGATGACTATCAGTTGATTGCGAAAAAAAATTGTATGAACTATACGGAATTTTCAAGAAGTATATGCTAATTAGGTACAAATTAAATGAATTAAAACCCTGACGAACCACATTGACAGAATCTAGATAGGAATGTGAAAACGATTTTAATGGTGGTACACATCACTTAACACTAATAATACCAACATCTATGATCGGACATCAAAGTGACATAACCATGAATACTCTACTTCTATTCTTTAGAATTTTAGAACTCTGTCTGGTTCTATTGTTAATTTGATTGATTGTAAGTTATGAGGCTGTCCTATGTCTTACCAGCTGATAACTTTAACTCATCTATAACCTAGTGAGGATCTATAATATATTTTTCGTAAATCTGATTATGATGTATAAGATACTATGAGGTGATTTTGGATTCTGGTAAATCAGTTGATGAGGTTGTGAATCTACATCGACTGAGATAGTTGGGCCACGTATTACGCATGCCCAACCACCGATTACCACGACACGCAATACTGACTAGTGTTGGGAACGGATAGAAGGAAATTAGGGGCAGCCAAACCAAAGCGTAGCATCAATTGATAAATTCACTAACTTCTGGTGTGATCCATGTTGGTAGATGCAGTCTACCTTGCTGGAGTCAGTGCGACTATCGTAACCAATGGTTGGAGACTCTGTGTGACATGGCTCAGAATCGATTGCCCCCAAATGCCCTGGTATGGCCGAGAGTGGAGTGGGTTCGCCCTCCTCGAAATACTCTCACACGGCCAGGCGTAAACAACCTCTGCCAGGGAAGTCCTACTCACTGCCTGGGATGTTGTTTACGAAAATGAGAGGACGAAAAGCGAATGTCCGGCGCTATAACCGGATCCCAAACCAATGGTGCACATGGGCTCCAGTATCCTGAAGGAACAAATGGCGTATGAACCAATAGTTGGTCACCGGCTTCCATGGGACTATATCTCCTCACGATGCTCCACTGCCTTGTGGGTCAGATGTTCAGGTCAAAGGCTCGGAGTGTGGCCTCCTAAGAAAACCACCTGCTTCGATTTCGGCACCTAGGCAGTGTCTCAGCCCACACACAAAAGTGTGGCGCATATATATTTGGTGCCTCCTTGTACCAATATTTATGTGTTCAAACAAACAAACAGATTCGATCACAATGGAGTAAATGTATACACTCTTTGTCTTCTCTTAAACCGTGAGACTAAAATTGCTTTATATCTTTTTTTCTACGAACTAATTCATTTTTCCCTGTATCATATCAGACAGTCAGTCAGCTGCAACGTAGGACAAGGCACATATATGCATCGGTCCAAGTTGCCATACCTCATTAGCACAACAAGATGAACACCGGATTCATAAAAGTTATTATTATTATTTGAACACATAAATATTGGTACAGGGGGGCACCAAATATATATGCGCCATAAAAGTAGTTAATTCAATGGTGTTAATATATAAAAGAAAGATTGTGTATAAGGAGATAGTACAGGAAGATAGAATTAGTTCCTAGAAAGAAAGATTTGAAGTGATTTTAATCACTTAGTTTAAAGGAAGACAGAGAGTGTATACACCGACGCCATTGTGATCGATTCTGAGCTGTCACCAAGAGTCTCCAACAATTGGTTACGATAGTCACGCGGACCCCAACCAGGCAGTCTGCATCTACCAACATGGCTCAGACCAGAAGTTAGTGACTTCAAGCACTGATGCCACGTTTTGGTTTGGCCAACCCTAACTTTCTTCCAATTATCCCTAACACCTGTGAGCATTGTGCGTTGTAATCGGTGTTCAGGCATACGCAGCACGTGGCCCAACCATCTCAGTCGATGAAGATTCATAACCTCATCAACTGATTTACCATCATCATTCCCTAATACCCTGCGTCTAACCTCACTATTACTTACCCGGTGATCCCAGTAGATACCAGCAATATTTCTAAGGCACCTGTGGTCAAATACTAGGAACTTAAGATTATCTTATACTCTTAAAGGCCATGTTTCGCAGCCGTATAGTAGAACGGAACGAACTGCTGCGCAGTATACTGGTCCCTTAATTGATAGACCGATATCTCGCCTTCGCCATAGATGACGTAAGTTGTCAAAGGCCAAATGAGCTTTTCGAATCCGTGCTGAGATTTCATCAGACACCGACCCATTAAGGCTGATCAGACTTCCAAGATAAGTGAAGTTGTCAACGCGTTCGACTACTTCACTCCCTATCCTTAGTTCAGGTGTTGACGAAGACCAGTCCTGAAGCAACAACTTGCATTTAGAGGGAGAGAAGCGCATCCCAAACATTCTGGCATTTTTGCTCAGTGCTACCAAAAGACTCTGCATTTCATCAGCGTCTTCACCAAACAGGACTATGTCATCTGCGTATTCTAAGTCAATAAGTGGACTTCCTGGTAGGAGATCAATACCTGAGAATTCAGTCGATGAGAGCGTTATTTCCATCAGGAGGTCTATGATAAAGTTAAACAAAAATGGAGAAAGTGGACAGCCTTGACGGACCTCACTTGAGGTTGCAAAAGCGGATGACAGTTCGCCATAAGCTCTGGCTCGACTAGTAGTGTACGAGTATCATATCCTTGTATGAAATCTTTTTTACTACCATTAAAGTAACTGCTTCTATGGATTTGGTGTTCATCTTGTTGTGCTAATGAGATATAGCGACTTGGATCGATGCGTATATGTGCCTGGTTCTGCATTGTAGCTGACTGACTGATTTTAAATCTGATATTACTTTCAAACAGGCCGGCACAATCCAGTGCATGTCGCAGAATTTAAAAGAGTGAACAAAATGCCTATGACAAACAGATTTTCCTATCGAGTAATCAACTCTTGAAACCTACTACCGACAGTGATGTCCTTACGATCAGTTGGCTAATTCGACACCCACAGTATACCAGAAAAGAGCCGACATAGGCCTTTAGCCTTGTTTTGTAAGCAATATCGTGCAAGCTTAAATGGAATAAGTTGAATTAAATTCAATATTCGACTGGTCACTTACCCCGACAATAGTATGAATAGGACACAGCTTACTGATAATTAAGTGAACTAATATGCTTCGCGTCTTAGCTCTAACCAAGATGATGTACTGATAAAGTTCTTGGACGATCCACCCTCGCCAAAAAAACGCTTGAAGACACGGATCACAACAACATCATTTGAGAGTAGACAGAAAAATTTCTTAGGCATAAGGATTAGAAACGATTTAGTATGTTACCATATTCAGTAACTATCTGCAATCAAGTAATGATGCATAAACATGTTGACAATATAAGAATGATTATTGATGTGGATGACTAATCAGGACCATGTTTTATACATGACAGTGATGGAAAATATTAGGCTTGGAAAGAACAATTAGACTGCCGTAGTCGAAAAGGTATAAAGTAGACGATCCCACAGTCAGACAGGATATTTGTTGTAATAAAGTTAGCCAAATACTTTTCTTTCATACTTATTAAAAATAACTTCAGCTTTTTTATTTACTGTGAGTGATAGAAACAGTAGTTGGAAATGGCTTACAGTTATGCCTAATAGTGAATATGTGGATTTTTCTCTAGTACTTACCAATGCAAATGGATGCTAAGCACTTTAGGGTTTTGTGCAAACGAAATGCTAGTGACTAGAAGTCGTTTTTCAACCATTATTATCAGTTCATAAATCTGTTAGTTACATATAAACCAATAAAACTGGGCATAAATGCACTGACAAACCTACCCCTGATGCTGCATGTTTATTCGGTCTTTAGGCATGTGAACGTTGACTACAGGTCCCGCCTGTAGAAAAAGTTCCCAAAGGATCGATTCGTTAACTTTTTCATCTAGTCCACCAACATAAATTGTGGCGTCCTGATTACGCTCTTCCATAACCCCAATAGTCATTTTTCAATACAAATGCACAGTTGTGGCGTAACTTTGAACTCTCGCGGCGACTTGCGATTATTCAATACACAATAACATTATCACGAGTTTGATTAAATCAATTGGTTCATTCGCTCTCACTTCTTGTTTCGGTACGATTTCAGGTATTCGATAGTGTCCAGCGGATGGTATTACAGCCATTCCGCTGCATTATTTTTAGTCAACTTGGTATTAGTTTGGAGGTTTGTATATCTTGTTGTTTGAGTGAATGTGTTTATCTAAGAGTAGTAGTTTATGAATACCAATAAATGTCACATTTCCAGGAACAAGATCGTCTAGTTGCAATATGAAAACAACTAACTGATAATCCAGATTCTAATTGAAGCGATTGTTTCAAGAGTAAACAAATAATTTACCTGATTGGTTACGTGTAAGAAGAATGAACCGAAAGGATAAGAGCGGGAATGGGAATGATAATAAGAGAGATAGGAAATAGTCACTGGTATGCGGTAATGATAGCCGTGGTAGTTTACGAGACATGCATTAGACACAGATGGTCCAAGAGGAGGATGGTAATCCGCGAATAGGCATTTGTTTAACAAGTTTCCTCTTAAAGCTATCGACTGATGTAGTTGTCGTCACCCTGGCTGGGAGAGCATTCTGGACGGGAGAAACGTTTGATGGGAAAAAGTAAAGGTGTATCTGGGTGCCTGTTTTTTGGCATGCAATCTTTTGAGGGTTGCATTGAGGAGCGTGTTGATGATGTTCTGGTAATATGTTTGTGTTGGGGTGGATCAGTATACTTAACATACTGTCGGCCACTATCGGATCATTTCTCATTCCCCTATAATTCAACCAGAATCCTCCTGGATGCTGGAGTCTGTCCCCGTGATGTTTTTGTCTTAGACCTATTATCCAATTGGTTGCTCTCCTCCGTACTTAGTCTGGGAGATGTACATCTCTTTTGAAGTGGGGAATTTTGTGATAGAAACGACTATCAACTAAAATAGAAACATCTTCCTGATTCCTCATCTTCATGTCATATCTGAACTTGTAACGTTTCCATATTTCACATTGTATGTAATTTTACTCCAATCTTTCTGTACATCTAAGAATATTGCGTTCATACTTCTTATCTGTTTACAGTTATCATCCTGTTTTGGTGTCACGATGGTTCTGAAATTGTAACACTCCTTGATGTCTCTGAGTATCCTAATGGATGTTTTGCCTTAGTCTTTATTAACATTTGAAATTCTATTGTCTACCATATTGTACGATTGCATTTTTGATCGATTCCGTTGGTTAAATTGATTTAATCTAACTGAAAAAAACAAGTACTTAACGTCTCAAATAATCGGAGTATTCGTTGTTTTGAACAGTTAACTGATTACTTAAAAACAGTTTCATTGATCGAAAGTTTGTCCATTTTGAATCGCGCGTCGCTTAATTTGTCGAACAGTTATTGTATATCATATTATGTCATCATTTGTTGTTATGTTCAAACGTCTCAGCTTCTGCACAAGATGTTTGTGCTAAATCACATTCCGTATGGTAGCTGTTACTACGTCCTTGTGATCATCCAATTTTAGCCTACACCGCTCGTCGTCATGGGGCGTATTCAAGATGATTCTTCATCGTCTCATAGTCTACTCTAGAGCAGCTAAGGTGAGGAACATTCTTTTCTCTTCTCATTGTTTAGTGTGACCACAGTAATTATTACCGAACTATGGTCACTGTTCCCTATTATTGCGCAGACATTAACATATTCAGCGAGAAGCTGATTATTTGTCAACAAATAAGGTTAAGTCAGTTCGTAGCTTCAAATGGCTCCGACAAGCCGCCTATGGAACCGTCCAGTAGAGGCAGTATCCTACTTGCGGAGATGTGCGGTCGGAGTGTTGAAACTTTCAGCTGGTAGAATTTTGTTATGCTCAGATAAGATAGCTTTAGTATCGCCTGTATTGTCTAGTCTTTTTGTGTTGGAACCTCTGAGGAGGGCCACCATATTCTTCCAATCGAGTATGTCGTGCCGTTTACATTGGTGCGACACCAAAACGATGTTGTCGTACCGGTTAATTCCGTATTGTGTAGTGTTGTGGCTTTGAAGTGACTGTTGGTGTACATTTCCCCTTCACCTCATGCTTTGTGCACTCTGTCATATCTGGAAAGTGTCCTATCTTGCAAGCTTACTTTTTAAACCAACATGTAGGGCGATAGCCATATTTTAGTGAGTACTGTGATCTTCATATCTAATTGAAAACACGCTTCCGACTCCTTCTAGTTTATGTTTAAGTCCTTTACATTGGCACACAGGTACTCGGTGGTTATTTTCATCATCTGATGTTGCATTACAGGATCTTTCACTTCAAGAGTTTTATTCAGGTTTTTATCCAAAGTGTGTTGGCCAGTTAAGTGCGAACTGATATATGTAATTCCCTAGCTTATATAGCGTGTCCCATTAGCAAAACCTCTCTGTTTCTGAGGTTCATGACCAAAAGACGCGGGGACCTAAGAGTCGTGAGAAGTAACAGACGTGGCAGCCTTGACAGGCTAATTGTTGTTTTGGCGTGAAGGTCCGTGCTGATTTATGGCAAAATCCACTGTTTCACATCATATCCGTGTGCCCTGTTTCGACTTCTACCTACTTACCTTGGCACTTCTTCCGTGCTAGTTGTTTATTGTCTCTTCTGATCTACTGGCAACGTTTCTTACGGTCCACGTTTGTCGTGCCTAACTCAAATTGCAGAGGATCACTGGACCACTGGTATTTAAAAAGTCGGCAAAAATGATTCTATAACGTCTACTGAACTTACGGTCGCCTTCAGTAGAATGGGTTTACATTTGTTCTGTTTGGCCTCCAAACAGAAGGCAAAGTTTGGCTGAAATTATGCTTTTTCTAAGCACTGTAGAGAATTGTTCCAGCTGTAGTTTTTCTTGGGATATACCGGTCTCAACCCTAGTAAAGGATATAGGTTAAGCGTGGAGTAGGCATCCTCATCGCGTAGAAAAAAATGCGAAAAAACGACAACTAAAACATATAAATCAAAGCATTCACACTCTAACTTGGAAGTTAAAAGAAAAGTTACGACGTCCCATGCTGAAAGCCGGGATTCTTCGAAAACCATGGGGTTGATGACCCCACTTAAATCAAGAGCAACAATTAATATAGATACATGAAATGTCCAAACAAAGTGTGAGTATAAGAAGACTAATCAAATAGCTGCGCAAGTGAGGAGATACAACTTGGCGGTGCTCGAAACAAGTGAAGCTCATTGGACAGAAAAGGATAGAATCCAAAGAGATTTTGCTGTACTCTGCTCACGAAGAGGAAAGTGTTCCACGTACTCAGGAAGTTGTTTTGATGCTGTACAGTATCATCAAAACACCATTCATTTACGAAGGAGGGAATCACAATCAATGCTATCCAGTGTTATGCACCCACCAATGATAGCATCGATGTAACAACCGAACTACCACTATTCGGTTTGAACGCAGGATTGACGAACCAAAACCTATTCGAATAGGCCAGACTGCGATCTTCTGTATAGACCACTAAGCGTTTTGAGACACTCGTATTAAATTATATCAAAACACAAACTCTGTGCTCAATCTATACGGTTCTAATTTAAGAAATAGAACAAATATCAAAAATACAAAATACATCAAACGATACAGCCTGTGCTATACAGTCAGAAGTTTCTCTAACGCAAAGTAGCGCGCTGAAATTTAAAAGAGAAAACCAATACCAAAGTAATCGATACCTGGGAATCAACAAATATATTCCCAACAAACGAGATCAAATATCTATCTGCAGGGATTCCAGAAATCCTCCCAAGCAGACAGTCAAAAGGTTAACAGCCACAATTAATTACGCCGTTAACCTGACCTTAGTCAAACACGACCTCACTGTCAATAGTCTGGCAACATGCAATAAAAAACTAGGTAACAAAAAAGTAAGTGTTTAATCAAAATCACATAATAAGAGCTCAAACGAGATCTGGACAAAGATTAAAATATATGACAGGGAGAAGAGACAAATAAATGAAAATATTGTCCAACAAACAAGGCTGTGGAGGGATTTTCATCGTTCTCTTTCCGTTACAATGGACGACAACCAAGATCAGTTTTACGAGAGGTGGCAATCGATCACTGAGAAGTGCACAGGAAAGGAATTGCCTATCCTGATGAGAGACCCAAACGCCTAAGTCGGCATGGACAACACCTGGCATGAAGATATCATGAGATGACATGGAGTGAGAGATAGGAAAGAGGATGGTGTAGCGGTAAATAAATCCCCAAAATAAATACCTGTGGCATCTTCAAAGGTAACAGATTTGCAAAATGTGCATTCGACTAAATGGTTATGGGTGACACAATATTCCCACACGAACACATGCACAAAACTACATGGGTCTCATTAGATCACATCTGTATCAATTAAAAGTTCAGCAGATCAGTGGAATACATGAGAATCTAGAGAGGAGCTGTTATAGCTTCAGATCACCGCCTGTTCGTCGCCAAGACTAAATTGAAGCTAAAAATGCTCTAGGTAATTAGACAAACAGCTGTAAAAAGGTTGAATACAGCCGTTTTTCGAGATACTGATGAACCTAACGAATTCAAAGTGACTCCTAACCTAAGGTTCCAAGACATGCAACTTCTACTCAAAGAAGGGGAAATTACAGTGGACGACAATCGAAAAGGGATAAACGAAGCAACTACATCAACGTGTATGGGAGTGCTGGACCTAACATTTATCAATATAAGAAATACCTAAAAGGCAAACAAGCAAACGAAGAAGAGCATTAAAGCTGAAAAGCATAAATACGTGAAAGCCCTGATAAGGACAGTGGAAAATTCTGCAAGAGAAGGAATAATGAAACAACTAATTTATACAACGAATAAACTAGTAGGGATATGTGAATATCTAGAACTGTAGTGAACGAGAATATAAGTGAGGACAACCGAATGAACTGGAACACACAAGTACAGAACATTTTAGTAAGATCTGAGAACCCTAC